GTGCAGGGTCAGCCTCTACTACTGGCAGGGGTAATCTACTGAGGCCATCAGCATGGCCCATTTCTTTCCCAGGTTTGTGAAGTAAAGAAAAATCATAGGCAGACAGAAAGATAGACCATGTCATCATTCTGGGGGAGATGATTTGGGGGGTTTGTTTATGTGTGGTAAACAGCCCCAACAAAGGCTTATGGTCAGTGAAGACCGTGAAATGCCTGCCATATAGAAAATCATGAAACTTTTTGATTCCAGCAACAACAGCTAAAGCCTCCCTGTCAATTTGAGCATAATTTCGCTCTGCAGAAAACAAGGTCCTGGAGTAATATGCAACAGGAACCTGAGTTCCATCTGGTCTGAGGTGGCTTAGTACGGCTCCCACCCCATAAGGAGAAGCATCACAAGCGATGCACACAGGAAGGGATTCATTGAAATGTGCAAGCACACTGTTAGAAGTGAGTAAGGCCTTAACCTCATTGAAACTTGCTTCATGTTTTTGTGACCACTGCCACACTGCCTGTTTGTCCAGGAGCCTATGGAGAGGTTCAGCTACACTAGCCTTGTTTGGAAGGAAGGAGTTGTAAAAGTTCAAAAGGCCCAGGAAGGCCTGTAGTTCGGCCTTGGACTTTGGTCTAGGAGCATGCATAATAGCTTTTAATTTGGACTCAGCAGGGTGAATCCCAGTAGCATCAATTTTGAATCCCAGAAAATCTGTAGAAGGCACCCCAATTTTACATTTGTCCTTCTTGAGTTTGAGGCCCGTTTCCCTGAACCTCAGCAGGACAGCCCTTAATCTCTCAGCTAAGTTGTGTGTGGAGTCTCCAGCAATTAAGACATCATCAAAATAGGGGCCAACCCCTGGTATACCCTGTAGTGTGTTTTCCATTATGCTTTGGAAAATTCCAGGAGCGACATTTACTCCAAATTGTAACCTCTTTACCTTGAATGCCCCCCTGTGGGTCATAATGATTTGAGCTACAGCAGCATCATCATCAACAGGCAACTGTTGATACGCCTGAGCTAGGTCAAGCTTTGCAAAAAGATGCCCCCCCTTGAGGGAGGCCAGAATATGACTGACCACGGGGATAGGATAGGCATGTTGCTGCAATGCCTTATTCAGAGTGCATTTGTAATCTGCACAGATGCGAATGTCCCCATTTGCCTTAAGAGGCGTGACAATGGGGGTCTCCCAAGGACTGGAGTCGACAGGTTCTAAGACTTCTTGCTGAATCAATTTGTTCAATTCGGTGTCAATTTTACCTTTCAAAGCAAAAGGAACCCTTCTTGCTTTAATTCTAATAGGGGTGACAGTGGGGTCTAGTTTTAATGACACAGGGGGTCCTTTGTACGTGCCCAGCTGTGGGCTGAAAACATCTGCAAATTCTTTGCAGACTTCCTGTAGGTCTACTGTTTGCAAACTATTGAGCCCTGTGACGTGTATTCCCAAGGCCTCAAACCAATCGAGTCCTATGAGACTCGTTCGCTCACCCCCTATTACTATTACATCTAATGGACCTTCAAAATCCTTGTATTGCACGTTAAGGGTGGCCTCCCCCTTAACACACACTCTAGAGTTTTGAAAGTCTGTTAACACAATGTCGGAAGGCCTCAGTTTGGCCTGAAATCCACTGCCAGAACAAATCTTCCTGAACGTATGCATGGAAATGATTGAAAGTGCAGACCCCGTATCCAGTTCCATAGCCAATGGAACCCCTTGTAACTTCACTTTAAGTGACAGCTTTTTCTTAATGGGCTTGTGTGTGCCTGTCCTATAAACGCTTCTTCGCGAAGCACATAAACCCACCCTGTTTTAGCTGGGGACCCTGGTACCTTTCAGGTGCAATTCTTTTCGAGGTTGTACCTTCTGACGGCCCAGACACACAGCTGCAATGTGGCCCTGTTTTCTGCATGCTCTACAAATAGCGGAGCAAAATCTGCAGTCGGTCCTCTTGTGACGACCTCCACAACCGAGGCACTTGGGGACAGCTGAAGAGCTTTCCTTCTGCTTCCCTTCTTTTGTGGGGTAGAGACGGTCTACTTCATCGTCAGGATCCTCCTCTGCGTTCCTTTGGACTCCTTCCTGGTGCATGGACACAGCTTCTGGAGTACTTCTGATCGGCCTCATGTTCTTGATGGCGCCACCTACTGCCTCTTCTGCAGTAACCTCTCTCAAGGCATCTTGGAATGATAAGTCTTCTTTAGCAAAAAGTCTCTGCTGCAATTCTCTATGTCTCAGTCCGCATACAAATCTGTCTCTCAGCCGTTCTTCTAGATCTTTGAACTCGCAGTGTTTAGCGGCTTTTCTCAGCGCAGCAATGTACTCTTTGGCTGATTCTCTGGGCCGCTGATCCCTCTGTTCGAAGGTGTGGCGCCAAGCGATGACGGACAACTTAGGCTGGAAGTGTTCCTTTAGTAGTTTTTTGAGATCTGTGTAGTTAACAGATTCTAGAGGTGCAGGTGCCGCTATGTTTTCAGCGATCTCGAATGCGTCTTGACCGCAAACGCACAGCAGGGTGGCGGCTTTTAAACTATCTTCTCTTACTTGATTGACTTTAAGATAGTTTTCTACCCTGGCTACGTAGGACTCCCATCTTTCCGGATGCGAGACGTCAAATTCTGAAAGTCTTCCAACTTTTGCCATTTTTGTAGTATAGGAAGGGTCTATCAGCCAGCTTACCCCCGATGTTCACTGAACTGGCGGGCAGCTGCTGAGTTTAACGCTGTTTCCTACTGCTCAGGACTCTAGGGTGAGCTTACAACTTGTCTGCAGTCGTTGTAAGGCATCCCACCTTCGTCGCCAGTGTTAAGTCCTCAGCGAAATGGCAATGACGCGAGAAGCAGTTGTAGTTCTCAGGAACCTCTTTATTTCTGTTCAACATACTGGTTACAAGATGCCAACAACGCCCAAGTCTCCCTGCCCCTTTTATAAGCGATCCCCGGGCCAAACTGTAACATTTGGTGTGCCTGCACTTTGCGCATGCGCGTGAGTGCTGGCGACAGCCAGTCTGGTCCTGGGCAGCTTGCACCTGCCCGGGACCGTTGCAATGCCCCAAGCCTGCCTTTACAGGCTCAGGACATAACACCCCTTCTTAAGGCTGGCTACTTTATTTTATCCCAAAAGACTAGCAAAACAGCAATGCAATATACCTGGCACAGGAAACTCCTCAGGTTCACTTCTTGGGGTGTGTGTGTGTGTGTGTGTGTGTGTGTGTGTGTGTGTGTGTGTGTGTGTCTTGTCCTGGAATGCCAAGAAGGAATTTTTCCAAGTTGATACCATATATGGCTAGAAACTTTACTGCTCTTTTGTTAACATTAAATAATTGTGTGTTTATTTAATTTATTTATTTACAAGGCTTATAAATTATTCCAACCGAAGCCAATTCTGAAAGGGTTTCAAGTGCTTACTGAGCATGGGGCTAGTTAGGGCAAAAATGTTTAATCTAATTTAGGGGTTCAGTTTATGGAATGAAATAAGTATATTGTATTAAATCTAAAGGAAGCTTGCTCCTGTTTTGCCCTTTATTTTGTTTCAAACCCCTAACGATGGTGGCAATGATTTTGCCACTCTCAGCAGTGTGTGCTGGAGATGCTCTAGGGATCAAAATAGGGCTAGGGCACTTGTCAGAGGTCCATCATGACTTGGCCACTCCTGGCTTAAACCAAGATTCCTATTGCTAAGGTTAGGCGTGGATAAATACATATCCAAATCTTGACATTGGGAGTAAGAAAGTCAATTGTTTCCTTAGACTTTAATCTATATAAATTTTGTGATGCTTCAAGTTTTACAAAATGCCAGAATTATCCATGGCCCACAGCATATCCGTGATTCTTATTTCATTGTTTATTTCAATTTTGTTCAATTCAAATTAAAACAGAAAGGGCCAGACATGACAACATGGAAGTTATACATTTATGAAAAGGAGTAAAGAATACATTTGAGTAATAGGAAATACTTGAAAGTTTGGAGCAAATAAAAAATGGTCTGGAGATGTATAATTTTTTGTAGGAAAGAAAAAAGAAAAGTTGAGTTTCTGTGTAGTAATAGGAGAACATTAGACAGGGCTGTGAGGTTTCTGGATTAACACAAAGGTATATGATGTCTTCTGGGTTTAAATTTTTTAATGTGTATTTGTGTTTTTCAGCTACAGTTGGGAACTTATAAAACAAAAGGCTCAAACATTGTCCAGTGGCCATTTGGAAATTTGTTTTGGGTTATGACCATCTCCCAAATCTAAGAAGCAGTAACAATCTCCCCTGAAAGAAACATGCTTTGACTGACTCTGTTTGGTACCACAATTTTTCAGTGTGGTTCCACTGTATACCATCCCACTTATGAATATTTTTCTTCCCTGATTTCTATCCCACCTGACTTTAATTTTAGCAAACAGAGCAAGAGAATACGACAGAAAAGGAAACAGTATTATTTTTAAGTTTCTACAGTATTTTTCATAGTTGCAGAAAAGGTACCAATGAAAGTTATGCACTAGGCTTAGAAGATTGTTTAAGGTGGTATTTCTAATGATCAAGATTTTAAGTGTTTCCCTAGCAGTCCATCTCTTTTCTGCTGTCAGCTCTTTGACATAGACCAGACTAGGAAATCAAAGTCAAGAATGCCAAAACTATTTTTATTGTAATATTACAGTAACATATTTTTTTTCAAATGAATGCACCTCCTCCCCTCTCCCTTTATCTTCATTAGAAATAGGGAGGGTCAAGACTGAGATGCTTTCTCAAATTACATTTCTGCCTCAGACTGAAATTTCTTTTGTCTATGACCATTGTTTTACTGTTTCTCAAGATTATTCTTATTGCCCAGTGCATCTGCATTCACACTAATTTCTACCTTTAATGCCCATATTGGACCTGTGTTGATGAACTGCATATGCCTACATTTAACTTGGTTAAATTTCCAACCTTTTCCTTGAATAAAGAGTTTACCATAACACATCCCAGATGGAACACATGGGCCAACAATTGATATGGAAAGTTATCAAAGTTGTACATACCTGGCAATAGGGTAGCTACATTGTTGTTGTCCTCTGTCCCACAGCTAAGAAATACATCAACAGTGTCTTGGTCAGAGAGATCCAACATGTCCATCTGTTCCAGCATGTCCACATTGACCTCCATGGAAGAAATGCTACCTAGGGGAGCTGGAAAGATGTATAAATTATCAGAGATCATACTGCATGAAGAATTCTCATAACACAGGGCAAGACCTACACATAGCTTGATAATTGCTTATATGTACACCTATTATGGAAGAAATAGATCTCTATTTCATAGCTTGCTGCCCAAATTAATCACAAGTAAATTGCAAACTTATTGACTGTTCTCACACAAATAATACATAGATTTCCTATATTCCCTTTCATTTTTTATAAACAGGATAAGCAGCCTTTCCAGGAATCTGGGGACTAAACTGAGCTGCACAATGATGTAGAGAAGGTTGCATCATTGCATGGACAGGACCAGGTTTTTTTTCCTATTTTTTCTTCTTCTTACTTTTTGGGGATTTGTATGTGATGTTGTTTTGTTATTTAACAGCATTGAGCCTATATGAGGACACATGCTGTTATTTTTATAGGTTTTGGGGGGCTCAAGATGGGGAAAAGCTGTCTTCCTGCAGAAAAGCAGTGGTACAATTACTGTAAAGTGTGACAAAAAGAGATCTGGAGTAGAACACTGGTACTTGATGATACCAGTTGCTCTTGTATGGTCTATGAACTTGACACATGAACTTACGTCTCCTATGTTCTATCTGCAGGTGTGATACTGGGAAGAAGAAATCAACATCATGCTGGAAAACTTCTTCAAAGAATCTCTGCCTTTCCCAAAGTTTAAGTTGCTGTTGTTGCTTCTGCTCAGGGTCCAGCCCCCGCTGTCCGTTTTCAATGTCAGCTGAAAATAAAATCAGAATGAAAAGTTGAAATGTAGAAATCAGTATTCTCTCCTGTTCCTTCCAGAACCAAAAATTGTCCTTGACAAGGTGCAGGATAGAAACACATTTCTTTAAAGAGAAATGTTAACAGTTTGAAAAAAGTTTCACTTTTGTGGGGTTTTGCACAGGAGAGGAAGCTGGACTAAAATTATCTCCAGGATTCTTTTCCATTTTTACATACTTTCATGCATGATTCATAGTTTTGCTTTATTGTCACTTCCTGCCAAGTAGGAACAAACCCCAGTAAAGCATGTTTAGCAGTGGTGAAAATCAGAAGACTTAACACTTTGTAACTAGTATTGTTTTATCTTTTCAAGTTACCTTGAGTTATATGAAGAAAGCAGACCGAACCATTTCTATCCTGCCAAATCAGCTGGACTATTTTCTGCAGAAGTATAACATGATGCAAGATGATGCAAACCAAAGCTTATATTCTGACCAGCTAATCCTCTTCTCTTTCCAAAGTCTCAAATAATTTATAATCCTTTCTAGAATGCGTTCATACTGCAGCATAGTTTACAGCACAGAATTGCTTTGAGGAAAAAAAGTACTGTGTACACAGCCTTTTGCTCTTGGATGCAAGGTGGTGTAGAAATGCAATGAACTTCCTATTTGTGATGATGAGAAAAAACATTAAAAGTTTTCCCTATTCATTACAAAGCAGATTAGTTCTGCGAAATACACACAAACCACAAAATGACATGGTAAAGTGTTATTAAATTACCTAGGCTACAGGAATCAGCAAGAAAGGTTACCTTCAAAACATCAAATTGATTGATTCCTTTTGATTAACTTAACCAAATAAAAGATTAAAAAAATACTTTGAAAGGATCTGATAAATACTACCTTTAAAGAGGATGTTTTTGAGGGCAAATTTAATCATTATCCAATATGAAAGCATTTTGATATGGTGGGAACAATCTTCCTTATTTCACATTTAATATCACTTCCCCTTTGAGCTTTGTCTATCTTCCTACAGAAAAATAATTTAGTTTCACTTACATCTAATCTATATAAATAAATAAATAAACATTTTTATATTTTCTGTTAATAATTATGATTTTTAGATATTTATTGTTTTAATGTGCTGTAAGCTGCCCAGAGGCACTTGCTTTGTGAGATGGTCAGTTATATAAATGATAGATAGGATAGGCAGGCAGGCAGGCAGGTAGATAGCAGACAGACAAATATAAGAAATAGATAGCACAAGAAAAATATAATTCATTTAAATGTATTATTTCAGAATAGGGGAGCCTGTATAACTCATCAAAAGAAAAGGGACATATTGATAAATTAATAAAAATCATTGTGGGCCACAAATATGATTTATGATAACTATGTTTTATGGTCTATGACCTATCACTTTGTTGTTTGTATGTACATTGAGAGCTTATGCACAGGAGATAAATTCCTTCTGTGTCCAATCACACTTGGCCAATAAAGAATTCTATGTTATTCTATTTTAAATGATGAATGGAGTTCACAGAAGTAAAGTGAGAACATAAATAGACAGTCTACCAATATTTTGATGCTAAACATTTGTTAAATCTTTGCCAAGAACATTAGCATATCTTCTGTTGTCAGTTTGGATTTAGCAAAGCTAGTCTTAATTAGTGTTTAAAGTCATTACATTCTTAGTGTAGGTTCTGCTAGCTTATGAAGTTGCAAGAAACTATTTGAGCTATGCAAAGAGATTGTCTTATAATTTTAGTGGATTCACCTAATACATGGTTTATTTCAAAATGCATCACTCTGACCAGTCACTGGACAATTTTTTGATTTTCTGAGTGAGATAACTCATCAAAATAAATTGAAATAATGAAGGCCATTTCAGAGGGAAAGTAAACCAACCTTTTGGGGTATCTTCTTCAAAAAGAAAAATTGAAAATCTTCAGTATGATTAATATGAATGAAATCTACCCATGTTTTCTTTTTTGGATCCTATAATGCCTTCATAATTTTTCTCCAGCATATACAACAATTAGACCTTGAACATGGATAAAGATAAGCAAGTCTTTGCTTGGTTTTTTTTAAAAAATCAATTTTTAATCAAATCAAAATTATTTCAATGATGCAATTCACAAAGAAACAAAAAGGAACCAGATTCAATCAAGTAATCATAGCCCATTATGAAAAGGCTGAACATTGAGAAATCTTTTTTTCTGGGAAAAACCCACATAATCAAGGAACAAAGTAACAGCTGAAATAAGAATGGCCCCTTGACCTTATCTAGGAGATTTTCCATAGCAAATTAAAAAAAATTAAAGACATTTTAGCTCCTCTATTCAACAACTGATGATGTAGGGACTGGCTAGACTGACATAAGGAAAATGTGCTTACTAAGCTGGGCAGTGCCATAACCAAGGAAACCAAACAAATAGTGAAAATTGTAATTGTCTCAAGTAGAACAAGCCTTTTCAATCGCTTCAGGGGAAATTTCAGCTCAACAGCAACAACTGTTAAACTTCCTGTTATGAGAGGGGAAAAAGAAAGAAGAGAGATGAGGCAGTGTCTCTATGGTGTGGCCTATGAATTCAGCTCCAGATTTGGGGGGGGGGGGACTAAATCCATTGTACCAATCAAAATGACATAACAAATATGCAATTTAGAGTTCTGCAGAACTTTTCATCAAACAAGTCACTGAATTTAAGAGAACTAGGAAGCTAAACTTCTATCATTTGGCTAGTCCTAAGAAAGGCATCACCCAATGTTTGATTTGAAACTATTTTTCCTGGCAACGGCAGCCTTTTATGTTTCAAGAAGTACCGGTAATTCAAGAACCTATGCAGCTAGCAAATACAATGTTTAACCATTAGATACAGATTTGGCTCATGTATTATTTTAATACATGTCCATCAGCCAACAGTGTTTTTCTACCTGAGCAATTACTCAAAAGCAAATTTACATGCCACATGCCAACCTTCAGATATGCTGAGATTTCAAATTCCAGAATTTCCAGCTAGCACAAGCTTCAATTAAAAGGGTTCCAGTAGCAGATGATGAAAATAATGTCTCTCCTGTCCTGAAGGCTTGCACTCAGAACAGAGTAGTCCAACCAGATGTGTTGAACCATAACTGCCAATCAGCATGTTAAAAGCTAAGTGATTCATTTACCTTCAATTTGTCCAAGCATCAAGATCTTTTCCAAAGATCCCTCCTCCCTTTCATTATAGATACAAAATATCTAAGATTCCTTATTACTGCTTTCAGAGAGTAATCTGTTTTCACTTGATCTAATTCTGAATAAGCTTTTCTTACTGTGCTTCCCATGTATTGTTAAAAACTGGGTATTTTTGTTGGCATCGCCTTTAATGAAGACATAAATTTCATTCAGAGTTTTTTAGGCAACTCTATTTATCAAATCTAATCTATTTAATTTATTTTTATTTTTACTGCATAATCATATATACTTTAAATAAGTTTGAGTGGCTGGTTCAAAAGAAAGAATAACAAATACATATAATATTGTACTGTAATTTCTACAGGGACATATAGATTTCTCTATTTTTGCCCTTTCTGTGCCAGTATCCCAGATGAACACATTAGTATTACACAATAAAAATAATTCCTACCTTCTGATTACCAAAAAGAGTAATCTTTTAGGCACTTGGATAAAGGAATTTGCTATAAACATTGAGTATTTATTTATTATCAAATTCATATAGCTGCCCATCTCACCCAAGGCGACTTTGGATAGTGCACAATAAAAAGTGAAGGTATAAAAACAGTAAATACAAATATAAAAGACCATAATAATAAATATAGTGAAACCAAAAATACATAGATGAATGGCCTCAACAATGGAGCCATCTAGATAAATCTCTAGTTCCACAGGAACTCCAGGCCTGGTTAAATAACCAAGTCTTAAGGACCTTTTGGAATATTAAAATGGAGGGGGCCAATCTAATTGTGGGAGGAAGAATATTCCATAGGCTGGGCACCACAGCAGAGAAGACAACTCTCCTAGAATCACCAAATGTAAATCTCTAGCTGAAGGTACCCAAGTATGTTTGCCAGATCTGATGGAAGGGCTGATTGAGCAGTGAAAAATGGTCCCTCAGATAATCTGGTCTCATGTCCTGAAGAAATTTAAAGGTTAAAACTACTATCTTGAATTGGAGCCAGAAACAAACTGGAAACCAGTGCAGCTCACGAAAGTAGGTGGAACATATGCTGTTCTAGGAGTATACATAACTGCCTGCATTCTATACCAGTTGAAGCTTCCAGGTACTTTTCAAGGACAGCCCCATGTAGAGGTCATTGCAGTAGTCCAATCTGTAGGTGACTAGGATGTGAGTGACTGTAGGCAAGGGTTGCTAGTCCAGAAACTGCACAACTGGCACACAAGATGGACCTGTGAATTTTTCCTGACAATTCTGTTTGTCTGATTGCTATGTCATTTCATCATTTCACACAAAAAGGACGAGTTTTCCCATTTTTCAGAGAGTATTTTATTTGCAGTTTCAGCATTCCACTCTTCTATAATTAGTACAATGCCTTTTTGGAATTGTGTCACTTAGGTCAATAAGGTGTTGCAAGTCATCATAGCTTCTGCTTCCACAGTGTAATATCGATTGGATTACCTTGGACTCATATTGGGATCATTCTGTCATTTGGATTTGTATTTGAGCATAGTATTAACTTTGACTTTTTGCTGATAAATATGGCTACTCCATTTATTCTCTCTATATATTTTTCCTGCTGTAGAATATTTGATGCTCTGATGGACATTCCAGTCCATTTCAGTTTTGCTGCTTCCCTGTCTTTGATATTTATATATATTTATATTTTGAGAATATAAAGTTTATCCTTGATTCACGGTTCTGACATTTGATGGATGGATGGATGGATGGATGGATGGATGGATGGAAGGAAGGAAGGAAGGAAGGACATCTTATCATCATTAAATCACCCTTTTATCAATAGGCATGTCAACATGTGAATATATTTTCAGATTTAA